TATTATAGACAAAAAACGAAGACGACATGAGAGATCTCTCCATCATCTCCCTCGACCTCGGTCTCTCTCTCTCTCTCTCTCTCTCTCTCTCTCTCTCTCACATATCTAAATCCACGTTTAAATATGTAATTTGCTCAGACTCACAAATTCTTGTCGCTAGGTTACACTGTGAAATCATAAACATCTAACTGTATAGTTCTTTAAATGAAAGCCCTCCGAAATAAATTGTCTGACAAAAGCTATCAGAGTTTAGGACCTAGGCCTACTCGCGAGCATGAACATCTGATATAGGTTGCGCATGAGCCACAACATCTCCAAAAATGAAACCCTTTATGTGCATAGGATGAAAAGTAATGGACAAGTGCCTTGAAGTCCAATAATATACCTGAAAAATCACCAAAATATGAAATTTTTATACTAGCATATAAGTTTTTCTGGTTCTTTGCAATATAACCAAATTGTACTTAAACATGCTCCTCCCAACTAGGCCCAGTCATCTTCCTCGTCACTTTATTGAACTGAAAACTAGGCTGATTTAGGAGCTCTTTTGTCCCTCTGTAGAGCCATATCAAATATTTAACGTGATTTTCACCAAGCTCTTGTCCATACCATTCGCTTGTGATAGAACTTAGCTCTTCATATGCCTTCCTTGAACACTTGCCATAGCTCTCTATACACCTCCCTAAAACTTTGGTTAAGGGAATTTCGAGAAACCTCTAATCCTAAACCCCTAAGGACCATACTAGTATAGTAGATCTTTGTTGATCATGCCTAGTAGTCCATAATACGTAGGAAACCCTCACATCAGACAAGGTCAGTCCAGTAACTAAATCTTATCATTATTTATCCTGGTCAACCTAGAACAACACAAAAATCGCATAAAATTGTTAATTGAAGACCCCAGAATGCATAAAAAATGGACCACATCACCACTGTAGGACTCAATAGAGCTTGTTGTACCAGCCAAGGGTTGCTCCTGGCCAGTGACGCAGGGTGCGTAGGTGAACGCAATGGGCCTAACAACGTGCATCACGTCATCAACCTATTCTATGCTTCAAAACCTTTTTTCAAAAGGTTCTACAAGTGAATAATTCTCAAACGGTTTGGGTCAAAGCTCAATATAGACCACACATGAAAGTTGCCCCCATCATGTGGTGTGGATTTTAAGTTTCCCTTTTATAATAGTTACACCCATCATTCTGGTTATGCTTAAACTAACCACTATGGCAAACCAATAATTACACTCTTCCAATGGCCATGAATCAATCTGGGATACCTACTATTAGAGGACCTAAACAAGTGAATGCATAGTGGAGAGGGAGTAAAACGTCATCAAATCTCACATAATTAATAGACATTTGTTACATAAAAAAAAACATCGATGACATAATGGGTCGATGTTTTTAGATGCATAATGTGTATTATTAGATGCATTATTAATTAATTGATGAATATTACCACTACATAGTTTTTACTTTACTGTAGGAATATAATGACAATTATATATATATATATATAGAAATATAAATATCAAAACTTCAAATCTCAACTTATATACTTCTCCAATATTAGTAATTATTAGTAATTAAGCCCTTTTACCTAATCCTCATGCACATTAGTTGGATTTTTTTATTCAAGTGAGGTTTTAAGATCCAAGTTTAGGCATTTTTTAGTCCCGAAATCCCAATCCATCATTACTTGCTCAAAAGGTTCATCTATCGCTGATTGACCCCTGAAACCCCCGAAACCTACATCTCGACCAAAACACTTCTGTTATTAATTGATCAAGCTATCAAAGCCCCTGATAAATTGGTTCAAAAGGTCAAAGAGTAATGGCGCTTTCAATAAAAAAGATTACAAAGAATGAAACAAATAATATAAAAACATACACATAGATTGCAAAATAGATGGGCAGATGTCCGAATAGATCTAAGACCTCATACGTCTGCTTGAGGCGAAAGCTCCACGTGGAGAGTAGTGTTCGTAAAATCGAACCGAAACCGTTAACCGGTCAAGAGGCTGGGGCGGTTCGAATTGAAACTGGATTAACAGGAGCGGTTAACCAGACTAACCGGTTATGTAGATTTTTTTTAAAAAAAATGAATCAAAGCCCCCTAAAATAATTTAAAACAAATATAGAAAAAGTTAGATTAAGTATACACTATCATATTACATACATTTATCTTATAAAAAAAAATTGAAACTACTTTTTATATAATTTAATATTTGAATATTATAGAGATATGTAAGAAAATTTATAATTTCACATAAATTCAATTAATGAAGTTACAAAGTTCAACTAACGATGCATGACGCAATAATATATGCTTCTATATTGTTTTAATGTTGATGTTGAAAAATGTTATTTTAATGTTGAAAAACCCTTTAATACGGTTTAGAATTGGGTTTGAGAGCGTATTTTTTTTGTAGCATAATGTTCCCAGTTTTTCGAAAGGTTGTAAGTCAAGGTAGTAAGAGAGAGCACCTCATGTGCTCAATAACTTGGTTAAAAATGCAAGGCGTGGATCAAGGTGTTAAGTGTTGCTTCAAATGGCCAAATTGATTTTGAAATGGCCAAACCTCATTTACTCAGTAACATTTTAAGTTGAGTTTTAACATGACAAAAAAAAAAAATATGAGATGGCAACTTTAAAATGTAGAATTAAGATGCATATTAAAAATAAATAAAACATGGTTAATTTTTTATCCAATTCAGCATGTGGAAACATGAGAGATGAGTAAAACACCTTTTAGTTTCAACCACTTTTCTTCATAGAGGCTAATAAACATATTTAAGGAGTATGAAGTTGCAACAAATGATAGATAGCTTGTAACAAATAAAAATATAAATTAGAAGAAAATGTCACAACTAAACAAGAAGTTGAGAGCATAGACAACAATAACATGCACCAAAAATAACCTTAAAAAGAAATAAATTTTTTTCTCATATTCATCAACAAAAATAATATTTTTATAAAAATAAAATATAACATTAAAACCAATACAACAAGCTCGCCAAACATATATAACATTAAAAAGAAAGAATTATTTTTTTCTCATATTCATCACAAAAAAAATTATTTTTGTAAAATAAATAAATAACATAAAAAAAGATCCAAAAAGCTCACCAAAAATATTTAAAATTTTTTTTTAAAAAAGAATATATTCTTTTTTTTCTCATATTCATCACAAATAACATATTTTTATAAAAACAAAATGTAATTTTTTTAAAAAACTAATTTTTTTTTAAGAACCCTAAAATCAAGCCAAAGAACACAGAAACGTTAGAGTCAAAATCAACCCCAAATCTTTCATTTTTTGAACAAATTGACATGGGGATATGATAGATACTTTAATTAAGATTCTAATGCTCGATTCATTCACTATTGAGATCTTTATTCAAATAATTGTGGATTTTTCACTTCACGAAAATTTCAGGAAAAAAACACAGCAAAAAAAATTGATATAAAAACATTTAATCAATAGTAAATCAAAATAACTAGTTTATTTGATACATGAGGCCTTTATGATCAAACTTCAGTGATCAATTTGATAAAAATTGATCAATTGGTCAATCAGAAATCAATTTGTTTGGATCAAAAACAGTTCTTCGAGCAGTAGTACTTTGGGGCCAAAAAAACCTCAAATCTTCATCATTTTGGAAAAATTGAAATATATGAACGTTGAATCCTTTAACAATTAATCAAAGCCCTCCAGTTTTAAGAAACACTATGAGGTATTGAAGCTACATTTGATAGATTGGCGGAAAATTCTAATTTTCAAAAATCCCCATTTCAATCCGCTAAGAACTCTTTGTTTTTGGAATTTTGATTCAATAATTGACAATTTATAGAAACTTTTTGGTGTATAACATCAATAGTTGATCGAAAAAACAAATATTATGTAAAAAAAAGCTGCAAAATCTTGTTCGGTGAAAAATAATGGGCCTGTATCAAATAACGACCGTTTATTTGATGCGTTGAAAATGCCGTTATATCGAGCGTTAGAATGGTAAACCGGACCGGTTAAGAAAAACCGGCCTGTTTAGACTAAAAAACGTCGGTTCAACCTCAAACTGGCCGGTTTTGGTGCCGATATTTTTTTGAAGAGTGCCATCTTATGAGGTGTGCCACAAAACCGGCCCTAACCAAACTCGCCACCCCACCGGTAGCGATCTAACCTGCCAGTTTTGCAAACACTGGTGGAGAAAGCGAGTTAACTCACAAACAAAATGGGCCCGTTCGCTTTTTAAGGGGCTGCAATCAGCTGTTTAATATTGAAAATACCAGACACCAGAGCACCTTGCCCGAATAACGGTTTGGTTCTAAAACTACCGGGTGAATAAGTTATTTATTTGATGTCGAGATGATCAATTTGAGGATATTTAGGCATCAAAAAAACCTCTTCTAGTAAAATTTTTAAAATAGGCTCTAATTTGATTGTTCAGAACGTCGGCTCTATATAAACTTTTCCAAAAAAAAAGACCTCTTGAACTTTTCGGTTTTCCTACCCTTGTATGGAGATGTTGATCTAGGAAATCACCACAATCACACAATCACCTTCGGTACCTAAAATTCACCAAAACCCCTAATTGCACCCAAGACATCTGCTATGGGCCATATTAGTGAAATGATCCAATCCCGCTATAGTCAAGTCCCTTACGGGTAAAATAGCCTCCTGAAGCTACTAGAAGTCTCCTTGTCCACTTTAATCCTAAAATAAAACTTTAGAAAATGGAAATTCATTATAATTCTGAATTTCCTTAAAAAAAAAA